ATGAACGTTCCAACATTCAACATGAAACTTTCTCTAGTAGAGTTGATTGCTGCAATCGCGAACATCTTGGTTCCTTATCGTATGGTAAGTTGCTAGCGGGAACCGCGCGCTGGAAACTCATTCCCGTGAAAGCAATAAATTCGCTACCGCTCGCTGAGACTTGACATATTAGTGAGACAGTAAACAAACGACTAAGCCTTCAATGCACAGTAGTTTCACACTCGCCTCACAACAAGCAAGGAAAATTTCATTCAAATTTCCAGTCAGCATCAGCATTTCTACTTCCACCGTCTAGATGACTCTTGACACACACGGATAGATAATTCAATTCATAAGTTTGGGCTCTAAAACAGTATTTGCAGTGTTTCAAAATACAGCGGATGCTTGATGTTCAGCTGCTTTTAACGCGTGCCTGTGTGAGTTAGTGATCCTCAGTGTGAGTCATTCCTTCAGTTTCTTGCGTTCCTTCGTGGCTTATCGACTTGTACTGTCCTTGACTAGATATGTTAACATTTTAGTGTTCGGCAACTTGTGGCGAGGGCGGCCTGCAAATGCGGACAGTGTCATGCGTATGGCACGGAACGCACAAGCCAGCTGGTACCGGATGCGAAAACGGTACCGCTCGACCAGCGGTGAGTCGTCCCTGTGAAAACCAGCCGGCCTGTTCGCCTTCAACATTTACTGATCAGTCGACACCTCTTTTGAAAGGTTTGCGAAATTGGCGCGGTTGGAAACTGTATGGCTTGGATCCCTTAGGCCTGTGACCGAAACCGTTTTCGTCACGTGCTTCATTCATAGGATTAATTAGAGCACCTCACTAGGCACTGCGTTTCTGTACTGCATTTTTTAAACCGTCCGGTGCTTCTGTTCAAAGTTTCTATTCTTCCATCCGCGTGTCACACAAACTACTGTACTGCCAGGGTGGTTCCATGTTTTGTGCTTGTTGTGTTGTGTCGTGATATGAGGTCGATTATCGGTATTCGTGTCGACTGAAGCAATAAATTGTACAGCTGTCACGTTTCACTGTTTGCTTGCGCAATCTGACTAAAGGATACAGCATCTACTGAATGGGGCACCTCGTACATCGTCACATGCGCGCAGTTCGTTTCATAAATACATGGCGGCAATGACGACAATCTTTGTGCGCTGCTCTGTGTACAGTCTTCAGTAATGCATGCTGTATCGTTTAGGCTTTGACGACTGCGAAGACTCGTCCAAATATTGTCCAGTGGCCAAATTACTTGGCTTGTGCAATTCGTTAGAGTACAAGCGAAAGTGCTGCATTACTTGTTCGATTATTGTTCGCAGATAATGCCTCCGTACATTTGAAGCATATGATGAACGTATCGTTTTGCCAACAAGCGTTTCGTTGCGTCTCATCAGTGCTGTGCAATTATTGCATCTCGCACTCCACTGTTTTTACTGTTCTACTTATTGACACGTCTCATATACTCATTTGTTCTATGAATATTGTGTAATATACCATTTCGTGACTTGACGATAACTGGTTCTCTGTAAAGCATGCGTTTCAAAGTGTGATACATTATCTTGTCTAAATGCAGTACAGTAAAATTTACACTAAATCTGTTTCCATGTATCACTCGTCACTAGTGAGGAAAAGCAACGACTTTGCGGTTCATTTAGAAGACGATATACCGCACTCAGACTGTCGCACTGGAAAAAACCGTAATGGCCATTGGCAAGAATATGTCAATCAATACCGTTGGTAAATGGTGCGACGCGATTTTTTAAGATGGTGAGAAGTGCTCTGTTTTCACCTGTCTAAAAGACAAACCTCCCTGACAGTGCAGCTGTACTACGATTACGCAAGTTGAAAACACTCAGAGGCAAAACCTGTTCAAGGAATTTCTAAAGCGACAAATGCTGAAATGACTGACTTGCTGTTAATTTGTAGAGTCAAAAAAGACACTTGAAGAAGCCACATCGTTAAGATCGAAATGATTGTGGAAAATGCTTTAAAAGTTAATGAGCTATAACTTGATAGCAACTTGATTATGTATTTCAATAAATTATTATAAGGCCTTTGACTCCGTTTATTCATTTTTAAAAGGATTCATAGGGTGAAAGTAGAATGTGCTACCCAGTTTCATTTACCCAGTTGGACCGGCCGGTAATCGGCGAAGAATCACACCGGCTGTAACACGCACACGCTCGTCATTTCTCGCGGGTATTGAAATAATCTTCCTCCCGTCATGATGGGATACCAAGCGGTCTTGTCCCTCACCAGGATACCAGTCGACAACCATCGCTGATTATCTCCCGTCAGTGAGTCAATCATCGGCTCACCGTAGCTTCTTCCTTCGGCTTTCGACGACAACGTTCTTCACTCCCATCCGCTGTCTCATCACCATGTTGGGGATGTGATCGCGACGTATAATTCCATACAATCTTCTTTCCCTGGCACTCCCGGTGAAAGATAGTTGGCGTTCTTCGGCTTTAGTGAGTGACCATGCCTCACAGTCATGCAACATTTCAGTTAAG